CCAATGTGCGAAAAACGCGTCATTTGATTGGGGGCGGTGGTGGTGGTGGTATTGTTGGAGGTGGTGTAGTTGGTGGCTTCGTTGGTGGTGTTACTGCACCAGTTTATACAACACCCATACAAACTGTTCCGATAATACAGACTGTGCCTGTTATTACCACAGTTCCCGTCGTTTCGACCATTTCAACAGTACAAACAATACCATCTTATGCCTCTGGTTATGGTTATGGTGGATATGGAAGTGGAGGTTTTATTGGTGGTGGTCTTGGTTTTGGAAAAGTTCAATTTAAAGCGAAGGGATTTGGTGTTGGCGGACTTGGTGGCGGTATCTTCGGTTGAAAAATTGAATTATTAGAAATATCAAAGAGTGCAATAAAATTATGTGATTTAATTAAATTAAAAAAGCGTTCTACTTAATTAAAAACAAATTATGTGTATTAAAAAAAGTGTGAAGAAGTTATGTATTTGATATTTAATTGTCACTGGAACAGATAATTTTATTTATTGAAAAAAATAAAACGTTAAAATATGATTCACAAAATAAAATAAAATGTTTTTTTTTTATAAGTAATATATTTAATCATACTTCTTGAAGAGGCTTGATCCTCCAAAATCACAAGGTCACAAAGCCAAAATTTGTAGAAAATTCTTTTATATAGACTTTTATGTTAATAGATTTATATGTTGTATGTGTTATATGTTTATGCAATAGTTAAGATGTTCTAAATGTTTCACCATAATTCGCCATTCGCCATTTTGTCCATCTTGCGTTAGGTAATTTTTCATCAGAGGCTGGGCCAGTGCTTACTTCTGGTACTTAGAAGGGATGATTTATTCTCTCCATCATAAATGTAGAAAGAAACAAGAATATGGGGTTTACATCCATGAAAAAAAGAGCATACAATTTCTGTGATTTCAGTGTGCTTAAGCTTATTCAAATGATATATTTCGATTGTGTTCGATCCATGATTTGTGAACAAAAGTGACATTAGAATCGCGTGAGACATTATATATATTGAATGTTAAGAAAAATTTTAAAGGAATAATTATTTCAAATACGGTATTGTATTTATATATACTTTGCAATCTTTATTTTATGTAGATATATTTTATTTATTCGTACTACTCAAAAGCTGGTGTCAGTCAGAATTATATATTTATTGGGTAATTCCAAGTATCAATTATCTTGTAATTTTGTTTCTAATCAAATTTCCTAATTGATATAACATTGTGTTGAAAAAAAAATTGATTTAATATGAAATCTATGATTTGTTTATATAAAGTTTCAAGTATTTGGAAGTAACTGCCGCACACTGGCCCAACAAATCTAATAAGCCAATTTTAAATAATAAATAGATGACGTTGCTAAATTATTTAAAACTCTTTTATGTGGTCAAGATTGACAAAAGAATTCCGAAAAAGTTTTGATTGTGTATTTTTCATACGTTTATTTGATCAAAATTGACGTTTATAGTACTTATTGTGTACTTGAAATTAATACATAATACGGTGGGCCAAATTTCGTTATTTCAAAATAAAATTGTTATAAAATAAATAAAACTAATAAAACGATCTATTGTATTTTACAGTTATCAGACAAATATCTCTAATAATTTTGCTAATAAATTATATAAATTTAGTAATTTTTTAGGTAAGTATTTTTTTGTAGATATGAATATAATGTTATAGTTATAAGAAACAAAAATTTGACTGCACATATATCCACTTACATACTTTGACAATATATTTTCATAAATATATCTACAATAGTTATAAATATATCCATATATATAAAAAATTTTTTACCTCCATAGGTTGATAAATTTTGTTGAGTACATTTTTTTGCTTCACTGTTCTACAGATAATTACTTCCGTATAACAAAAAATAAAATTAAAAATCTCTTTTTCTTTACTTTACTAAAATGATTATAATTTTATTTCTTAATATTTTATTTGATTGAAATATTAAAAAAAAAATTAAGACACTAAAGCTATAAAATCAATTGTATAACATTCGCCGAATTTAGTTAAAATTAATATTTGGAACAAGTTATACGCTAAAAAAATGAAGACCTATGGATTGTTATTCCTGTGTCTACTTGGACTCATAGTTGCTGAACTTATATGCGCAGATGATGTAGATTCTATTGCCTTAAAAGATGCTAATTTGGATAATAATTTACCAGCTGTAGACACGGAGGGCCATGAAAATATATCAGCACGTAAAACTCGTCAATTCGGTTTTCCGCCTCCACCACCATATGCACCTGGTTTTGGTCCTGGCTTTCGACCTGGTTTTGGCCCAGGATTTGGTTACGGTGGTGGTTTTGGAGGTACCCGTGTTATAACTCGGACTCGTACACGTGTTGTTAATCGTTTCGGTGGATTTGGTGGTGGATTTTATGGTTAAAAGTTTAAACATTAAACATATATTAAACGAAAGTTTTATTGCTTGTACTGATTGTGTTGTAAATTTTAAAGTAACAAATAGTATCTTATCTTCAATCTGTGTAAGTGTAAGACTTACTAAATGCATATAAATGGACGAAATGTGATATTCTAAGCTATAGTAAATTGTTGTTATTAAAAGTATTTTATGTAGAATACTAATTAAATTTTAAAAATATGAATATTGTTAAAAATAAAAGTTATTAATTTAAAATTTTTAAGCATTCATTAAGTTTTATTAGTTAGGCAAAATAAAAGCATAAATTTATTAAAAGTTTATTAAACAAAATTTAAATGTGGACTGCTTGTTTGATTTAGCAGTGTATCAAATTTTTTTCGATATCTCCAATATAAAACAACATATGTGTTGACCAATATGTGTTTATCATATTGTGTATAATATAAATTAATTTGGCTAACAATCAAAGTTCTTTAATATGTGGTTGATATGTTGGATTGGGTAAAAAGTAATCAGCGTTTTTCTGTTAGTTAATCTCGAAGTTCATTACTTTGTTTTACATGCTAATAGGGAAATTCATTATTGTTGAACATTTTTTTATTTTTTAAGCATCCTTAAAATTATAGCATGTGAAATTTGAGCGAAATCCTACATAAATACATAAATAATACTAATAAATAAGTAATAATAAATAATAATAGGAATAAAAATTATGGAACGGGAATGTGCAAGCTTTTGTGGTTTTTTGTGATAAATATATTCTACGAGTATAATAACCAGTTGCTAAAAATGGTTCCCTGACTGAAACATGGTACTCACTTAATCGATCTGTTATTAAATAAGTCGATGAATAAATTGGATATAAATATTTATGAGATCACAAAAGAATTGAAATGTTGATTACAAAACATTTTTTAACTACTTGTAAATATCCGATTACAAAAAAAAATTTAACAGAAAATACCAAAGGAATTAAACAAGAGAATAGGTGTTGTGGTATACCACGATAATACCAGGCCATGTATTTTAGTGACTTTGCAGTGAGGTTTTGATTGAGATATCACAACAGCAAGTCGTCATATATTTAGACTACTGCAATCTTAAAAGATGTTTTAGAAAAGCATCTACATCATTCATAAAAGGATTTAAGCTTGGAATTCTACAACAAATATTTTTCCGTCAAAACAAAACAAAAAGTCAATTTTGATTACTTAAAATAGTTATAACAGCTAATATGTTTTAGAATATTTATAGTGTTAGTTTAATATTTCTCTAGATAAATTTAAAGGCAAGTATTTGATAGCATTGTTGTCAGTTTTGATGTATGTACATACAATTAAATATATTTAATATTTATATTAAATAATATTTTAATAATTAATATTTAATAATATTTAATTTATATTTTATATTAAAATGAACTCTGCAGCTCTGCTTCTCCATTAAACATTGAAAAACGCCAAAGAGCTCAATCGAAAATCTTTCGGCAAATAGTCGGTCACCCTGGTATATGAAAAATACGAATATTTATAGAGATCTTCGAATTAACAAAGTCATAAACGTAATTGTCACTAATACATAAAAGTACGCAGTCAAATTCAGGAATTACCTAAACTCACTTGCAAGCAATCTCACCCACAGCACTGGAACCCAGCGACTCAAAAGGAACTATATATGGTAAACCCAACTATTTAAGAAAACGAAATTGGACGAAGGGTTGACTAAGGGCAAATAATTATCTATTTTCTTTCTTCTACTACTGCAATTAGCGATAACTTATTGTTAGTTCTGCGGCCCTATGTTTCTCCTAGGAGGTGAAGGATTTAATATATAATATATTGTTAGTTCTGAGTTGATTTGTAGAAGATTTAATAAAAAAGGTAAAATAATTAAAAAAAAAAAAATTTTATATAAATATAATACATAAATAAAATAAATTCTTTGTGTTACAAAAATTATAAAGTCAGCAGAAAATTTTAAATATAAACTTCATATTATTATCCTAGATTCTATAACATAGAGTTCGGTATATTAATTTGATTTTAGTTTATGTCAATAATATTTATGTTTGCTACTCAATCCGGTTTCTAGTATTAGAGGTCAACAATGCATAAATTTGGCTTGATGTTATTTATATATCGTTTCATCTGTACTTTTTTTATCCCAGTATTTGTACAAATTTTTAGAAGACTGATTAATTTACATTTGTGATTCATTTCGGTTTCATTTGATTTCTATACAGTTTGTTAGTATATAGAAAATTTAAATTTTTATTTGAAATGTTTACAAATTACACATATATTTGTATATATGAATTATATTTGTATATATGACATAATTTCCATTGATTAGTATTTTGTCATAAAACATTTATTTAAATCGATTAAAAATTCTAATTCTCAAAATCAAATCAGATTAGTCCAACTAATATTAAGATTCTAATTAAAGGAGAAAGTGTCTTAATCAAGAAAATTATATTATTATTTAATTAACTGTCTTTTTAATTAGCTCATAAATATTTTTTATAACATTTAAATTAACTTCAAAACTATTTGTAACTGCGTGATGGTATATAAATAAATTTCATTTGACAGCTTTTACTTTTGAAGGGTGAACAGTTGGATGAAGTTCATCAACAGTAAACTTGTAATTTATTTCTTAGTTCCAATTTCGCTCAGTTGGTTCCACGCAGTGAAATGTAACGAGAATGTAACTGAAACCCAAACAACAACTACAAGAAAAACGTTCATAGATGCGAATACTTTTGACGCGAATGTGGGAGTTTTGCGTAAGTATTAATAGAAAAACTTTATATTTTAATAAAAAAATTGTTTGAATTCATTTAAGTTTAGCTACGAACCAAACTCAATTTCAATTTATACGTAAGAACTTACGAAAGTTTGCTGGACAGTTCCGTATGAGAGTTAGGTGCACCTTATGGGGTTGCCGTGATGTAAACGCTATTGAATTGCCGGAGTTAGTGCAATCTGCTCAAGCAGAGGTGATGGGATCAAATAAAAGGCCAATGCTTTTCAAAATAAGACAACTTTTGAGAAAAAAGGCAAAGGAAAATAATTAAAATCGTTCTTAGAATACTTTGGGAGGCAATGCAGTTATATCAACAAATGCAAATAAATTATAACTAAATAAATTTATAAATTTTTTAAAAATCAGAAAGAAGTCTCTAAAAACTTAAGTTATTTTTAAGGCTATTTGTTAGCGTTATTTCGAGTCGTTGCCACAGTTTTCACAATCATAACTATTATAATTGGCTATAACTATAAGTAATGTCATTGTCTTTCTTCCAATTATTTATAGTCATCCTAGAATTAAACAGATTTTAATACTTAATAACTGTTAGCCCGTTTTCATTTATTTAACCATTAAGGTACTACGTGTCTGTTAAATTAAAAAATATAAAAATGTTATAATAAATTTAATCGAGGATAGAAAAGAATACAAAATGTGCAACATACCGGCTTCCAATAGAGCGAAAAACTGCGACTTTGTCTGATCTTTAGTGATTTTAAATGAATTTAGCCGATAAAAGATATTTCGCCTTTTGTATAAAAGTTTTGTGATCATTTGGTTTATCACAAGATATAAAAAAGTTTATTGACTTTTTTCCAATTATCTTGAGGCATCTTAGAATTAAAAAGGATTTTATACTTAAGAATAGTTTGCACCCACTATTATTATTCCTATCGAAGGTAAAAATTGGACATATCTTTGTAATCAAAAATATTATCAATGAACCTTTGTTAAGTATTGCCATCTGGATTGCAGACTGTACCGATACTGGATTGACATTGTCTTTTTATATAAGTAATGTTATCAGAAATATATATCACGATATATATTAATCATACAGTAATAATTATTTTAATTCCTTTCCAAATACAAGTTTTGATTAAGATTCAGTTCTTAACATGAAAATAATAGACACCAACATTTTTTTTTTTTTTCTCTTTATTGAAATTATCTTAAACTAAAAAACGTGACAAATGTGATTTTTACTTAATAACTGAATATTTGGTATTGTTTGTAATAAAAATGATTTGGTAAAAAAAATGTAACTATTTATAAAAACTTTGTACAAGAATTTTCAAAAAATATTCAATTTTTTAGATAAAACATTTAACCAAAATGTTTACCAAAAAGATTCTTAAATCCTAAACCACCAAAACCTCCACCCAGTCCATGGAGTCCACCAAATCCAAGACCACCAAGACCTCCAAAACCTTTGAAACTTCCATGTCCTAAACCTCCAAATCCACCGAATTTGCCGCCCAAACCAAGACCACGTGCTAATCTCTCCGACTCTCCATCTATTGCCGATTCATTTGATTGTTC